AAATCAAAATCATAATTTTTAAAATAATGAAGAATAATGGAAAACCAATTTGGAGGTTCTTATGAGTTATCTTAGTTTTGAATTAGGTTTTTTTTTTTTTTTTAAACGGGTCCCTTAACTTTGTCTCCTTAGATCTGTTAGTTCCTACAATTCAAAAGTGGCTCGCATGTGTTTTTCCATAATATCCAAAATTATAACTTCAAAAATAATATTAAAAATTATTATTAGAGTAAAATATTCTAACCTCCCTTACATTTTATCCTAATTACACGAACCTCTTTTTTATTTTGAAAACATACAATTTAATCTAAACTATTAATTCCGCTAAGAACATTTTATGAAGATATTTTTTAATTAAATTTATATTAAAATTACTTTTATTTACTAATTTATCCTTCATAATATTAAATCCCTAAATTTTGGTTAAAAGTTTTGAAAAATTTAAATTTTTTTCCTTTTTCTTAATTCTTTTTATTTTTAAAATCAACTATTTAATATTTTTATCATATTGGGATAGAAAATTAAATAATTTAGTTAATGTAAACATAAAAAAACTTGAATGGAAATTTAATTATTTTTTAATAAATATAATTGAATAAATAAGTTAGAAATGTTCTCTAACAAAATTTTTATTTAAAAATTTTAAATTATGAATTTAAATAATTTTTATAATCTCTAAAACTTAGATAATTTAGATTATATGATGAAAAGAATATTTATTTAATATATTTTGTAGCCATTTAGAAAGAAACTTAAATAAATAATTTTAATATTTATGATGAAAAATTAAAATAAAATTTCATAATATAATCAAAATTAATAAATTTTATTATATATTAAAAATTTTGAAAATGCATGTATTAAAATTATTTTTTTTGTATCAACAATTTTTTTGGCAAATATAAATGTTTAAAGAACTTTTATATTAAGGAGGGGTATTTGAGTCAAAACAAAAGTTTAAAAATCAAATTTAACAGTCAACTAACAATTGGATGGATGAAAATAAATCTCAAATGTACAAGAGAGTTTTATGTAACATACATTTTATTTTGAATGGAGGTTTATATATATTTTCAAGACAGATAAAGATTTTTGCAATTTTAATAAAACAGAAGGGTAATTAGTGTATTTCACTATTATTATTATTATTATTATTATTATTATTATTATTATGATGATGATGATGATGAAAAGAAGATTTTTTTTTTTGGGTGCAGTATTAATGTGAAAAAAAATCCTCAAGGTTGATTAAAAAAAACTCTATTTGAACACCCTTAGTCCGTAATCAAATAGTGACTATGAGATGCATATAAAATAAGTGACTCTGTGTGAGTGATGATATCCGGATTAACTAACTAATCTCCTGGTCATAAGAGAGAGGGCATAATAGGAAAGAGACTAGGATTAACTATCCGGCAAGCATTGAGTGGCTAGTAAATAGACATATTCATGAAAATTAACTATCCATGCCGCATGCTAATATGCGCTAGTCGAGGCGCAAAGTATAATTTAAATATGGAAACAAAATTAAATGAATATGTGAACATTAATGGAAAAAAATAGTTATTGTATTTTTGCCCAAAAAAATAATAAACCAAGATGGCATTAAATATTAAATAATATTAAAAGATCATAAAAACAAATTATATCAAAATTTTGTGCTCCACTCGTTTCTCTCAATGTTATTTTTTTAGTAAATATATAGAATTTAGTATTATTTATTAGTTTATTAATTTAAATTGTATTATCAAGTTTAAAATATATAGCGCTGCTCTCATAATATTTTTTTCCATCAATATTTTTTTTTAAAACAAAAGTTTAGATGAGTTAGATCCCGGGAGCTCATTAGGGTCAGGATATACTTCCAGATTTAGAGAACGCTTATAGAAATACTTATAGATCGCCCATCAACAAGGTTCTCATATCAGTAGCTGGATTTAAACTTACAATCTTATGAGTTATAAACCAATTCTTTGCTAACTATACCAATTCTTGTTGGTAATAATGCTGCATCAGAAATATTGAGTTTTTGCCCCTTCATGTGGAAGTCTCTCCGGGTGCAGTTTATGACTTGAGCAAACGGAAGCCCAATAATTTCATTTTGGGTCAGAAGTGACCCAATTAATTGAGATGGTGGAACAACAAGCTGGGCTACAAATTGGGCCACGCTTTACTATGCTGGCCCAAGAAAATTATAAGGCTACATCCTCTCTTCCTCAAAAACCCTAGTCCCTCACCATAACCGCGTCCCTCTGCGCCTCTCGCCTCTAGGTTTTCTGCAGCTGCTCTCTCCGGGAGAATTCCACCATGGTTGCCGCCAAGAAGACGGCAAGTTTCTCCTTCTCTGTTTCCTTCCCTTCATGCTCGATTCGCTTTGGTTCTTAGTTCGCATTTGAAACTTCGTTTCTGATTCACAATTTTCCGTGATTTTTTGATGTCTCCTTTTCACCTCTGTACAAGCGCTAAGTTGATGGCTTCTTTGTCTCTCTCTTTTTACAGAAGAAGACCCATGAGAGCATCAACAACAGGCTCGCTCTTGTCATGAAGAGTGGGAAGTATACTCTGGGTTACAAAACGGTCCTCAAATCCCTTAGGAGCTCTAAAGGTTCGAATTGTAACCAGAAGCTTTCTTTGATCCGGTTGTTCTTTTTCTACTTTGGCATTCACTAAAATTGGATTAAGTAGTCCTAATGTGGATGTTTTTATTAACATGCGATGTAAATGGAATTTCGTCGAGCCAGGCTGGGCTATTTAGAATGGGGTTATTGATGTGCTTGATGGGAAACGTTTCCTTTTAGGTCTTAAATATGGATTGCTGGGGGATCTTAAAAGCCAAGTGTCGGTTGCATGGTGAAATTTCGAATTGCATTCGTTGTTGTCGAATCATTTTTGGGCATCTTCTTTTTAGATTCATTTTTTTAGATTAAAATGAGTTCATCTACAATCCGTGGGACTATAACCTGAGTTTCACTGTGGTGGATGTTGCTGTTGTTATCGGTGTTTTGCTACAAATATATACAATTTATACATAAATAATTAAATATTGTCTTTAATGTTCTATTGGCAGGAAAACTGATTATCATTGCCAACAATTGTCCACCTCTGAGAAAGTCAGAAATAGAGTACTATGCCATGTTGGCTAAAGTTGGAGTTCACCATTACAATGGAAGTGAGTTCTCAATTGCAAAGTTTTCTAGCTGATAATTGTCGGTAAATGTTATGTGTTTTGATGGTGTATCGGTTTTGTCTGTTTGGTATTCCTCGTCTTTAATTCTATACAGTGGGGGCCATTGAAGAATCCGTGGAACCATATTAACTATAAATATTTGTGAAGCAATAGCCACATTACTGAGCTTTTGAAAGAAAAGCCAGTTCATCTTGGCACTTTGATTGTTTTATTTTTCTCTATATCTGCGCTATTAACCTTGGGGCTTAACACGTCTTTGGGCTCTTACTATCATGCTTTTGGTATCAAAATGATTGTGCATTTGCTCCAAGTTCACATGACGATCCAGCTTGAGCATGCTGACTTGAAAATAGCTGGCTGTTCTGATTTCTGCTACTCCAGGGAATTATTAAATTTTTTATGCCCTTTTGAGTCATGTTGCCCTTGCACGGTGATTTAAAAGCCGCCTTGAATGTGTTGTGGTGTGTAATAAAAACATTCACATAACTCAGGGTTTGAATGAAAAGTGGAGGATGTTTCCTGTGTACTCTTATGTTTTATGTGATTCTCTTCGCTTGAAAGGACTTTACATTCTGTTGACTTGAGGGGATTCAAACTCTTTCAGACATGAAGTCATTTTACTTTGTGCTGTTTACTGGTGTGGTATATCTGTGTGTTGCCATGTGTTTAGATGTGATATCTAGTGTCCAGGGACAAAATGAATGATTCTGTCCCAGTAAAACATCTCTAATGAAGTTTTTTCTGTTCGTAACAGACAACGTTGATTTGGGCACCGCATGCGGCAAATATTTCAGAGTGTGCTGCCTCAGCATTATCGATCCTGGTACCTTGAGCTGTGTAGATCTAACATCAATATGGTGAAGGTATACTTTGGTATTGCATATCGCTAATTTTTTGATATTTCTTTTTTCAGGTGATTCGGACATTATTAAGACGATGCCTGGCGAGCAGTAAGTGATTGTTGTTTTTGTTGGGTACGAGTACCGAAGTTGAGTGCTAGTCAAGGGTAGAAATTTCGAAGTTTTATGTACTAATTTTGTTTACATATTGAAGTTTCGTTGTTCCAATACTCTGCCATATATCGGTATCGAAGTGACTTTTTTTAGCAGGTTGAATTTGTGGTTTCAGTTCCTCTTTTTTGGGAAATTGATCTTGCGCATTTGAACCATTCCTCATTCAATTCTTGTTTTTCCCTGTTTAACATCATTTTGTTTTGGCAATTAAACCGTCATATATTCAGTCCATCGTAAGAAACAACTGCAAGATAAAATGTAAAGATTAATTCTAGTAATTACAAAGCTTTTGAATTATGAAGAGTTATTTTTAATTAATTTGTGGGATGTTGTCGCAAGGTGGCTAAGCTGATCAGGAGATTGGGAATTTTCCACAGATATGTGGTGTAAACGACTTTTGAAAATGTACAAGTTTTCATTATATTTTTTCAAGGATAGATGGATTGAATCAAACTATTAAGAGGGTATTTGATAGAAACCAAATCATAGTTTAAAAGTGTTTTACGGTTTACGAAGTAAATATGTGAAGAAGTTTGTCTTGTTTTGTAAACTTCTTATAAACACTTTTAGACATTTCTAAACACCTTTTTAAGTTACTCAATCAAAAGGGTTGTAATTATTAGTGATATTTGGAAGTAGAGAAACACTGGTCATATTGAACAGATTATTTTAAAGGAAAATGAGAAAGATAGGACTAATCTCCTCTTTGACCGGGAAAAAAGGACTGATCTGCTCGAAAAGAAATATAGGACTAAAGCCTTTACGCACTGGTGTAGCTTTTGGGAGACATCGGTCTAACCAAATCTCGATAAATTCGACCACTCGGACGCTTCGACAAGTCTTCATCTTCAACAAGCAAATGTAGGTTGATTTTCAATAGCCTACCTTAATGGACCTTTTCCCTTTTATTAAATAAGCCACGGCTTCTGAAGCCTCCAAATAAAGTAATATACGAACAAGCCAATCCCACCCCAATCAAAGCAAGCATCCTCCAAGTATGATTACTTTCACTCTTCTCTGATCTCACTTCTTCTACGCTGAAACTCTGCCTGCTTGAATTTCCTATGATACCCTCGTCCACATACCCGTATCCCACATACGCCCTATTCCCTTCCCCCACAACCACTGAGGTAGGAAATCTTTTTAAATCAAGGTTAATTTTGTCAAACACCGCTCCCTCTGTCCAGTTGTCTTCACTCTTCAAATACCACAGCTTATTCACAGGTGACACCACCAAAACGACGCCGTCACTTCGCAACGCGATGTCGTCTGCTCCCATCAAGTCCTCGCTTAGTTGCACCAGCCTCCCCGTCCCGTCGTTTGCATCAACCTTGAACATCTTACCCGTATTGGATTGCACCACCAACAAATACCCCTTCCCGACGTAAGCAATGCCGTTCAGGCCGCAGGAACTATACGATGTGTCGCGGTCCACGGGATGGGCGGCGTATTGTGGAGACCTAGAGAATATCGACGCCTCTCCTTCGTCGTTCACTTTCCATATGTAGTTCCCAGCAGAGTTGGTGACATAGGCGTCTCCCTCGTCATCCACCGCGACGTCGTTTGCGATCGCACGGTTGGATTCGCAGTCGTCGGAGTCTGCTGTGGGGAGGACGGAGAGGAAGAGCCGTTGTCGAGAACGTAGGTCGTAGGCTGCAAGGGCATTGAATGGAGAGAGAGTGTTGGCGGCGTGGACGACGGCGAGGAGGCGTCTGTTGATGGAATCCACCGAAAGACCCACGAAGGAGACGTTTTCGGGGAGGGATGAGTCGAAGATGAAGGTTTCGGCAGTGACGGCGTCAGTGACGGCGACGATGGTCCGCTGACGGAGCGATCCTAGGAAGAATTGCTGGGTCAGAGGGTCCCAAGCAAGGCCTTCAGGGTAGAGATTTGGAAAGCGGAAATGGATTTTTTGGGGCTCTGCATCAGAAAGAAGAGAAGAAGCCAAGAATGAGACGCTAAAGATGAGGAAGAAGATGAAAGCGCGGATGGAGATTGAGGATAGATTTGGCGATGAGATTAACATGGTGAGTTTGAAGTAAATGCGAGATCAGAGAGTCTTGTGGAGGTTGTTCGTTTGCTGCATTTCATGTGAGTTTGTTAAGAGAATTTATATGTGAAATTCGCCTTCAGGGTCTTATTAGATATCGTTTCTTGTCAAACAGGCTTCAACTTCTGTTTTTTGTCAAACAGGTTGCAGTCCGCTTCTCGCCTGACAATGTTTTTTTAAGCAGAAATACTGTTCCATTTTTTAATATTTTTTAATATAAAACTTATTTTATAATATAATTTATATTATATGTAAATTTTATAGTAAGAATAAGAGAAATTATTATTTTTTCACCTTGTTTCCCCTTCCCCATTCGCTCTTATTATCTGAACTTTTATGTTCTAATATACTACCTCCGTTCTTTAATAAAAGATTTTGTTTGATTTTTATTTTGGTCCTAAATATAAAATCTTAATTCACTTTATCTCTTATATTTACGTTTTTTTTTCTTAATATAGTCTTTCTAACAATAGTAGTTCTAACCAATAAATACACTTAATTAGTAAGGATATTTTAAGAAAAATAACACATATTTATTACAAATAACTAACTTAACTTCTTTTCTTAATATTCTCAAATTAGTCAACTAGCTCTTATAATTAAGATGGGAGATAATATATAGATGTGTATATATGTATTCCTCCAAAGAAAAAGAATATAAGAATATATTTTAGGAAAAATCACAATTAAAGATCCTGGAATTTGAAAAATACAGATAGCGACCCGTGACAACTTCACTTAAAGTTGTCAAAACCCATAGTGAAGTTGTCACGGGTCCCTATCTGCGTTTTTCAAATTCTAAGATCTTTTTTTGCGATTACCCTTATATTTTAATATATTTAGAGAATATTATCATAATATATTTAGAGAATATTCTAATTGGGCCCTTATGGTTTGTATATTTGCTAATAGTCATGCATTTGTTAAATTTTAGCTCTATTTGTGTCTTTGAATAAATGGAAATAGTCATCATATTTGGATTAATCATAGAAATGTGATTTTATGAAGTACAAGATAAATAATTGGTAAGAATTTCATTTCGTAAAACTCATTTAATTTGGTGCTTATTTGGAGCTGATAAGCATATTTACATAAGTTGAAATATAACTTATTTCACATACTTATTTTGTATTCTATAAATGACAATTAAAAAGCTATTTATAAGTTATTTTAAACCAGAAAAAAAAATTAAAGAATGTGAGGCATGAGTAAAGGATATTTCTCTTAAAAAGTGGCATCTCTTTATCATTTTATGTATAGTTGTAACTTTCTTCATTGTCTTCTCTCTTCTCGGTCTTCTCCTGGAATTCATAGTCACTTCATCAACTTCATTTCTTTTTCATATCCATTCACATTTTTCTTGCAAATCCAGTAATCGAAGTCGTAAAGATTCATCAAACAGTACAAAACAAAGCAATACAAATCATGATTCTTTCGTCTCTGGGCAAAAAAAAAACCGATTTTCCCGCGGTATAACGATGATCCTTACCCTTAGTAATTCTTCCCTGACACTTTAATTTTATCATGCAAAATTGTGAGTATTTTTAAAATTAAAATTTGTGAGGGTCGTGCACAGGCTACATTGAACTTAATATCACTTTTGACTACACGTTTAGATGTATCAACCTCTTATTATTACATGGCATGGGTGATGAGAGCCAAGATCCTAATTACTTTTAATCAAGTTTCTATATAGATTAATTACATAGCCTTGCTAAAATCAACAGACATTAATGGCTTTTGTTGCTTGGGCACAAAAATTGTTACTACCTCCTCCTGTGCTAAACATAAAAACTAGTTAGAGACACTACAACAAAATATATTATTTACCTCCCTCATTTATGTCTGTTCTAAAAAATAGAGGAGAAATATATAGTTTTTATGTCTGTTTACACAAAACAGACACAAAGTAACATCTGTTTAATAAAAACAGACATTAATTCACGTCTGTTTGATATAAACAAACGTTACTTCACATTTGTTTTTAAAGAAACAGACGTGAAGGTGGCTTATTTTTTAAAAAAATTTGCCCTTATCAGCTTCATATCAGTACTGCCAGCCAAGCTAATTTAGTCACCAACCAGTGGCTAGCGCGCGTGGGAACTTTGATTTTTTGCTCTCTCCCTCTCATTTTCGTCTTCTACTTGCAGCAACCGTGAGCTACTCTGAAACTCTCCCTCTCATTTCAGCTCTCTCAAGGCCGTTATTCTGTAGCTAGTCCTCACTCCATTGTCGTCGTTCTGCAGCAGCTATAATTTTTGTGTTGTAGTAGCTCGTCACCGTCGATTAACAAGGCTGAAGCAGTGAAGTTCACACGCACAGTAGCTTGCCGTCCTCCTCGTCTCTCTAGGCCGTGATACGCTCTATATCGAAGGAAAGCCACAACAGTTTCAATCTACAGTGAAGGTAAGTTCATTCAACGGTTGTGTTGTGGGTTTAATATGTTGTACGTGGGTTTGTGTGACTTGAGGAATTTTAATTTGGTTTCTAAGGTTTCTGTTTAAATTTTTATTGAAGAATTGTGTTTAAATTGTTTAAATTTGTATATACTGATTGGATAGAAAATTTAAAGATTTCAAATCTTGTTAATACTTGTTAGAAAAATAATGCATACAAGGTGTTTATCAAAATGCCTAAGAGAGATTGCATTTAGATAATTTCCTATATGTATTGAATTTAGATTAAGGATTGGGTATACATTAAATTATTAATGAAAAAAATTGCATTTAGATGGGTTGAAATTTGTTTACATTGATTGGGTAATGGATTTGAAGTTTGAAATCCCTATTAACTAACTTGTTTGAAAATTAATACATCAAAAGTGTTTGTCAAAATGTCTAAAAGAGAATTTTCCTATATGTATTGAATTAGAATGTTGATTACATTCAAGAGGAAGCTTTAAAAATGGGATGTTTATTAATTGAATAATGGATTTGAAGATTAAAAAAATTGTTATGTATTAATTAGTTGTCAATGGAAAGCTTTGTTCTAATAATTTTTGGATTTTTGTTATGTTATATGTAAAATCTCCACTACTTGTAAAAGTAATTTTTATGTCTTTTTAAATTTTAGGAATTGGCATGATGATATAGTCATTATAAGATGTGTTATGCTGTAATTTGAATGAATCGGATTCAATTGATATTATTAGTTTTGAATTTGGTTAATGTTCATTGGGACTGTGCTGAATGATAAAAATCACACTTTTAACCTCTATTTTACCCCAAAACAGATGTAAATTTACCTCTGTTTAACCAAAACAGACATAAATTTATGTATGTTTATCCAAAAGAAGACATGAATCGACGTTTGTTTTAGCAAAATAGACGTCAATTCACGTCTGGCTTAAGAAAAACAGATGTAAATTTATATATGTTTTTGGAGAAACAGAAGTAAAAAAGTGATTTTTTACTTCTGTTCAAAACAGATGTAAATAATACCATTATTCTCTTCTGTTCAAAACAGAAGTAAAAGGGGGGTACTTTTTATGTCCCTTCTTTTCATGTCCCCTGCAAAACAAAAGTAAAAAGTCATACAAAATAGAAGTAAAAAGTCTTCATTGTAGTAGTGAGATTTAGGGCCTGTTTGTTTATGTTCTTTGTTTTCTTATTCTTAAAACAATTTTATAAAAAAAATTTTAAAAACAAGTTTTGGAAACAAAAAAAAAACTTTGTTTGGAAAATGATTTTTAAAAAATCACATTTGAAAAAAATATATAAAAAATCATACTTTGACAAATGATAGTTATCACCGGTAGTGATAAGTAGTAGGTAGTAGAGAAGAAGAGAAAAAGATTTCTCTAATTTTTTAAAAAAAAACACAAAAACAAAAACAAGAAAACATGTAAAAGTTCTTTTGGTTTTTCAGTTTTTAAAAACATATTATTGTTTTTTTTGCTTTTTAAAATAATTAACTAAAAACATATTGCCAAACAAGTTTTTTTGTTTTTCTATTTTTAAAAACAAAAAATTGTTCTCAAAACAAGAAACCAAACAAGCCCTTAATTTCTTAATTCACTTTGTCTCACAGTTACAGATAACTAATTTATTAGAAAAAACAATATTTATTTATTACAAATAGCCAATTTAACTAATTTTATTAATATTTGTAAATTAGTCATATAATTTTATATCAAGGACTGAAGATAATATTATTTGTACCTCTTTTGTCATGTGGAAAATGACCAAGGCGACAAAGAAGATGAGCAGAAGGTCGGGAACGCCTCACAGATGATTAAATTGTGTAAATGATTTTGAGAACATGTTTTATGTCCAAGTGTTTTTATTTGTCTGTTGGGAATAGATGGGCTTGAATCCATATAGCGACTCAATGAAAAAGACTAGCTGTAGGCATATATACCTGGCACTTGAAAAAACTTATGTTATATATATATATATATATATATATATCCAACAATAGTTTCCTTGTTTTCTTAAAAAAAATAAAATAAATGCAGGACTAAAACCCCATAAATAATTTAAAAAAAAGCATGAATTTTCGGGGTACAATAGACCCTATCACATAAAATATAACTATAGTTCATGCTTCGTAGAATATTAACGAAAGCGAGAATACAACTTTAGAAGCCTGACCAGTCCTCTGATACATCCATAAAAATCCAACAATATTTATTCAGTTCTTTAAACTTAGTTAACCTTTTCTCCCTTATTAACAAGCCACGACGGCTTCTGAAGCATCCAAATAACAAAGAAAGCCAACCCTGTCCCAATCAAAACAAGCATCCTCCTCATTTGAATACTTCTATTTTCCCTCTCTGATCTCACTTCTTCTATGCTGAAACTCTCCCTCCCTGAATTTCCCATCATACCCTCCTCCACATTCCCATATACCACATACGTCCTATTCTCTTTCCCCACAACCAATGAAGTAGGAAATCTTTTCAGATCAAGGTCTATTTCGTCATACACTTCTCCCTCCATCCATCCATCTTCACTCCTTAAATACCACAGCTTATTCACAGGCGACACCACCAAAACGACGCCGTCACTTCGCAACACGATGTCGTCTGCCACCATCAAATCCTCCTTCATCTGCACTAAGCTCGCCGTCCCGTCATTTGCATCAACCTTGAACATTTTGCCCGTATTGGATTGCACCACCAAGAGATACCCCTTGCTGACGTAAGCGATCCCATTCAGGCCGCAGTAGCTATGCGGTGTGTCGCTGTCCACTGGATGCGCCGTGAACTCCGGAGACCCCGAGAATATCGACGTCTCTCCTTTGCTGTTCACCTTCCATATGTAGTTCCCTCCGGAGTTCGTGACGTAGGCGTTCCCCTCGTCATCCACCGTGACGTCGTTTGCAGTCGGACGAACGGATCCACCGTCGTCGGGGAGTACGGAGAGGAAGATTCGTTGCCCAGAAGTTAAGTCGTAAGCGGCGAGGGCATCGAAGGGAGGGAGAGGCTCCATGGCGTGGACGGCGGCGAGGAGGCGTCTGTTGACTGGATCCACTGTAAGACCCAAGAAGGTGACGTTTTCGGGGAGGGAAGAGTCGAAGACGAAGGTTTTCGCATCACCGGCGTTGCTGACAGTGGCGATGATCCGTTGACGGAGGGATCCTACGAAGAATTGCTGGGTCAGTGGATCCCAAGCAAGGCCTTCTGGGTAGAGATTCGGGAAGCGGAAGTGGATCTTGTGAGGCTTCGGATCAAAGAGAAGAGAAGTAGGAAAGAATAATGAGATCCCAAAGACGAGAAGGAAGAAGATGAAAGCGATGAATGACATGGTGGGCTGGAGCTCAAAGACTGTGATAAGAAGGTCGCGGTGACTCGTTTGTTGCGTTTCATTAAGATGGTTTAAGAATTTATATGCGAAATTCTGGGTTGGTGGATATGACAGTTTCTTGTCAAGGAGGCTTCAGTTATGGTTTCTTGTCAAACAGGTTCAACTACTAATTTCTTGTCTGCCACTCTTTTGATTTTTAATACAAGATTCAATTTGGTTTTGGTTCTAGATATAAAATTTATTTTTTATATTTATTAATTTTTTTAAATTATCTTTATAGATATTTCTTCAATCATAATCAAATAAAAGATGAAAATGAGTATTAAGAAAGATGATTATGTTGTTTTAGAAAAAATGTGTCACATTTCTTATAATTAACTAATTTACCTAACTTTTTTAATCTCATCAAATTAGTTAAATAGATCTTATATCAAGGATCAAAAGAGTTTTTTTTTCCTTTTTGACAAGTTCTTGTCTGATAATTTTGTTAGTCCGCAGTCCACAGATGTATCTCTCTCCGTGACTATGCTCGTTTTCTACTCTTATAAGAACTTTTTAAAAATATTTTTACATAAATTGAGAGAATTTTTATCATGTATTTATTTTGTATACTGTAAAATTATTTTTAAAATTATAGTTTAAGTTTTACTTAAACACCCCTTAATTGAGGACACTGTATTTACTTTGACGTGATGAAATTTATAATTACCTGTCAAGTTCTAATTCTAAATCTAATTATAATTCCACCGTTGTAATTACACTGTTTATTCATTTAGCTCAAATTCTAATTTAAAAAGGAAAACAATTGTCTAAGTTTTTTGAAACACATGTGATCGAAGAATTTCATATAATATAGGGAATAATATAATAATATGGACTGTTAATATTTTTAATTGTAAAAATAATATTATTCTGATTTTAAACTTTTAAGGCAACTTTCACTTTTGCAAATTGTTTAAAAAATTTTTCTAAACAAATTTACATCTTAACCTTTATTTTATAGTATTAGCAGTTAACCCTTAGTTTATAGCACAAATAAAACAGGCGCATGGAAGAAAACACGGATAACACCCAACATTATGTTATGCTCATTTTACTTTCGATGTGTGGACTTCGGTATCGTATTTTCTTCTTACTGAAAAATAATAACTCACAATATAACTGTGTGAATTCAAATGAAAATTTTATTTTCGAGGCATTTAAATAATCTGAAGCATGGACAACACAAATAATTTATTAAAAACATGTGGGTAAAAATAATTTATTAAAAATATAACGTAAAGGTATAATTCAAATCCAAATAAAATTTAAAAAAATTATTGATCTTAATATACTCTTCCGATTCTTAACATAAGACATAATTAATTAATTTGAGTAAATTAAATATATTAGTTAAACTAGTTCATATGACATACTTCTTCTAAAACATCCTACGCTTCCTCTTCTACTTGATCATTGTTGAGAGTATCATCGGGTTAATTTAAAAAAAATGATAAAAATGTGAAATAGATATTATATATAGGACTAATATCAGCTTCTTAATTAGATCTTATATTAAGCACAGAAGGAGTAATATAAAATGCACAAACAAATCACATAATTAGCAATCATAAATTGTGTGACTCAATTGAGAGTTTGCATGATGCCCATGCCATCTAGTTATGAATTTTAATTCGGTGAAACAGAACCAATTTAAAATATTATGGACAAAAATTTTTATTTTTAAGATATAAAAAAAAAGTAACAATTTTATTTAAGGGAAAATTTCCCAACAGTCAGGAGGTTCTCGAAGTCGAAAGATGCGACATAACTATGGGAGAAGCAGTCGCGTCGTATCGTCGGATAAAAGCCCCCGAAAATCCCTATTTCCCAAATTAGTTCGGAATTTCAAAATTTCCACTTTTCTTTACATTTCGGTCCCTCCCGCCAATCCTCCATTGAAGGAGGGAACAGTGTGTTAAAATTTCACGGTAGATATAATCATATAAATCTGAAATTTCATATTCTCTCTCCATCTTTCCCTGTAAGAAAGAAAGAGCGATACTTGTCTGAAGCCCAAATTTGTGGGAGACATCTCCTAGCTTGCTTTTCTTGTCCAGTGTGACCTTTCTTACTGGTCTGTCAAACCCTTCGGGCTTTTTCTTTAGGCTCTTGTTGTATCGTCATGGAAGTCTTGGCTCCGCAGCAGCTGAAAGTGGCCAATGAAGTGAAGAAGCGAACTCAGTGCCCAGGAATTCGAGTCATCGGTGGCCGAATCTATGATTCGGAAAACGGGGTCTGCTGTCACCAGGTATATTGGATGAAGATTTGTAATTTTCTATATTCTTTTCTTCGTTCTTTAATCTTCTTGCAGTTCTTTAATCACGGGAGTAAGTGCGGTTAGGTTTCTTAGTCTAATTATGGAAATAGGTATATTTAGTTGTAGCATCAAGTTCATTTCCATGATACGTTATTTGTTTTCCATGTTGAAGTGCCGTCAAAAAACCAGGGATTTTGCTGCTTGGTGTAAGAATTTGAAAGGGGAGAAGCTTTGTACCATTAAGTTTTGCCACAAATGCCTCCTGAACAGGTTAGCTTCGTTGGTGACATACAACGTGTGTTTTCAGAAATCTTTTGTTTTCATAGAGTGGGAAGGTAAAGTACTTTATGTAACCTTCCAAGCTGAGCTCTAGATTTGTGTTGAATTAGATATGGAGAGAAAGCTGAAGAGGTGAATGTGTTGAACGATTGGAAATGTCCTAGGTGCAGAGGCATCTGCAATTGCAGCCTATGCATGTAAGATATTGATGATGTGAGATGTCCTGTTGCATTTTTTTGGTTTCTGTCCGACAGAATTCCATAATTTATGTCTTATAAATTCTGAGATGAGAGTGATATTCCAGGAAAAGAAGAGGCCATCAACCTACTGGTCAATTAGTGAAGACAGCCAAAGCATCGGGTTTTTCCTCCGTGTCAGAAATGCTTGACGTGAAAGGTCCCGATAATATAACATCCGCCAATATTCCAAACGTTGTTGTTTCGCCTATAAAGGCTATTTCTTCCAAAAAGGCATGCTATTGTTCATCTCATTACTCTTATCAACTGTGTTGCAGCTGCCAAAGCCATGTGCTTAAATGGTTCATTGATCTCCTCGTCGCTCATATTTCATCCTTATTGCAGGATCTAATGATTGATCTTAATATTTCAAATTCTGATATGGAGGTTAAGAGTAATGCAGTTTCGCCTAAAATGCCATGCGGCTCAGGCAAGGTTTGATGGCTATTCTCTGTCTCAATTCTTCTTAGATCACAGACTAATAGCTCGTATACTTCACTGCATATTTGGGTTGATTTTTTATTTTTTATTTTTTTTGGGGTCCCGTAGGAGCTTGTGGTTGCTCTGTCACCGAAGCATGGCAAGGAGAACTCTTTAGACAGAAATAGTGGTTTAAACTCTCAGAAGGCATTGCCTAACTCCAAGAAAAGACCTAAAAAAACAAAGCGGGAAGGGCTAAAGGAAATACGTAATGGCAGCAGAGTAAATGATGCTTGCCAAAATGGGAGCACGAAAAAGGTTAAAACTTATAATGAAGTTCCATCTGAGGAAACAAAACAAAACGCAACTGAGGATATCATTCAAGCAGGGAAGAAACGAAATAAAATGAAACAGAGAATGAAGGTTTCTAGGACTTCAAATGACGTTTCCTTAAATTCTGATGAGAATGATGTGAAAGAAGAAATGAACAAACAGAATTGCGAAGACGGTGTCAACCCTCAGAATAAAGAAATGAACAAAGTCATCTCTTTGCCACCGGGCTCTCTTTTAACCAGTATACTAGACCTTGAATTGCCACCCGAAGATGTTGGTCATGCATTGCAGTTCTTGGAGTTTTGCACCGCTTTTGAGAAGGTATGTCTTGTGTCTGATTCTATTAGCTTTTGGGATAGAGGGTAGTTGTTGTCGGTATGATAGCACTGTAACAAAATATATCTTCTAAGTGGTTCACGAATCAAATATAGACTGTTAAGATAGTTCTTTGAAGGCTCTGCCCTTATAATACAAAATTGTGACAATTTCCTATGATTAATCAGATAGCATACAGATAGTATACAGGTCCAGTGTCAAGTTTATCTTTTGATGGATGTTCCTCAAAAATGCTGAAAGCATTCAAGGCAGCACATGATTCTCAATATGTCATTATATTAGCTTTGAAGAAATAATTTCTGTTTGGCATATTAATTATGCTGACTGTTTTGAATATTTCCTATGGCCTACCGTCAGATTCTTGATATGAAGAAAGGAGAAGCTGAAGCCATCCTAGAAGAATTAATATGCATACAAAGTGCTCCCACTAGACACAAGACCTTAGTAGTTCAGTTCTATATCAGATTGTTGACTCTAATACTAAGTGAATCAGGAGATGGGTATGGGTGTATTTATTCAAGCTTTATTTTGGAAGGTCCTACTCTTTTATTTACTTGGATGACGTTTGACCATCTCAATCTCTTTGTTGCAGGTCTCCTTCCTTAAAATCGTTGAGCGGAAAACATTCATGGTGGGAAGCTCTCAGAAATATAATATCTGAATCTGATGTTGTGCCAAAAGCATTGCAGCTAGATAGTCTTGAAGAAGGAATTGATGGCTATTATAATTTGAATTTATCAAATAAGCTTAAGCTATTGAATTTTCTTTGCGATGAAGCTTTGGACACAGAGTAAGTAATCAGGAAATAATCCGAGACAACTATGCTATGATATTATCTCCCCCCCCCCCCTCTTTTGTCCTTCTTATTGTCTTGGTTTTCTTTGGGGTGATTTGTAATTTACAAAATCTGTCCAGGACTATAAGGAGTTTTATTGATGAGCAACACTCAAAATTTGCTGAAAGTGCAAAAGAAGCAAAAATAAAAGTTGCTGCAGCCAAGGAAAAGGTAGTGTCATACTTGATAGGACATCTTTTGTGGTTGTATTTTATATATATATATATATATTTCAAAAGTTGTTGCCATATTTTTTGGGTTTATTTTATCTGCAGGAAAGAAGTCTTAAGCA